ATTCTGATCATTTATGTATACATTTGTCTATATCTATCTCGATTCGTTTTGCCTGTTACAAACAACCGTTATGTGAACAAAGTTATAATACCCTTGTGCACAAGTGCGCTCGGGTATAATAAAAGGCAAGTTAATTTGTAAAGTTGTATGCCTTACCGTCGATACATCCACACCACCGACTCCCACGTCATTCAATTCCAGCACTGCACCCGCATGCTCAAATAATAGCGGCAACTGATCCAAATTGTGGCTATAGACAGTGCTCACGTTTAGATGCACTTTCTCGACAAACTCATATTTTATGCTGCCATAGATTTGTTTTGGCTCACGACTTGGATTGTGGAGCGTTGTGCGGTCGAGCAAGGTTTTGTAGCTGGTGGACACATTCACCCAAGGCAAGTAGGTGACGTTGCGCAGCTCGTACATGAGTGGCTGTATTTCGATTAGCACATTGATGCTGGCATCTAGACCGTACTGGAGTTAGGAAAGAGTGTTTGAGAGTTTCATACAAACGTAGAATGAGTTATTTTTTTATCATCTCAGACTTACAAAGTTATCCTCGAAAATCATGACAATGCAGGCAAAAAGATCTGATGTAATGTTCGTAACAAGATCGGTGTGGCTGAAGTGACAGAGTTCTGTTTTTTCGCGTTCCAAATCCGTGGCTTTGCCAATATAACTCAGTTGCTGGAAGGATGAGATAAATTTTTGTAAAGAAGTGTCTTCAAAACGATTGCTGGATTAGTTTAAAGGTAGCTTAAAATACCATAAAAATAATTTCTCTTACTTAGTAAAGAACTTTTATACTAGCTTTAGTTGTCTCAAAAGCATGTCAACTCTGGCCCTTATTATGAGCTGCATTCGATTTTCGATCTTCGCTGGCTATCGAAGATCGAAAGTGAAATTCGTATTATGAGCTATGCAAGCGTGTCGAAATTTTCGTTGAGTATCGAATTTTCTGTCGACCAGAATTTTACTTTCGATGGTGTAGCGAAGTGTTAGAAAATTGTTAAAAATGTATGATTTTGTATATGTTTTCTTACATTTTGGCGGCTAGACACTAATTTTAAACAATTTTTATTAATTTCATGCAGTTCTAACATCGTGAATACTAAACACAAGCTCGAAAGGCTGGTTTTACTTGTGAAAGAAAATCCCAATACTCTGTTGGCGCGATCTCTGAGAACAAAATCGTAGCGCTGTTGATAGTTTTAAAATATTTTAAATAGATTTGGCTCACAAACGCCTCTTTAGATGGTCGGAACTTTTTAATGAATCTGTAGACAAATTTCTTAAATATATTTTATATCAAAATATATTCGAAAGACTAATAAACTTAAACTCTCTTAAACATTTGCTACTCCTGGCCAGTTTACTAAGCTCTCATCCTCTGACGAATCGTTGAACCAGAACTCGTTGTACTCATTTTACCACGTTTTTATAAACTTGCTTTCTTTTTTACTTCATTTTAATTAGAACAAATTTACATAAATATGTATAAGCACACTATTTAGTTTGCTCGATTTGTAAACAAAGCTTCTCAGCGGTGAAAAATATACTATTGTGAACAACCTAAACGAGCGAAATTCACAATAGCGCTATTCTTCATCGAATGAGCGCCATAATACCAAATGAAAATTCGTTCGCTCAGCACTTTCGACCACAGTCGAAAATCGAATGCAACTCATAATAGGGGCCTCTGTTTCAATCTGTTCAAACGCTCGCATAAGGCAGTACCCGAAACGGCCAATGGTTGCATATCGTATTAATACAAATGTTTTTGAGCCTTGGGATTCATAGACTCCAAGATAAAATATACAAAAGAAACCTCTTTGTGTTCTACCTAATTATTTTATATCTTGAGTTCGGCGCTTATTTTTAAAACATTCGAAATGGTTACCTGGCTACCTTTTCATCTTTGCCGCAATAAAATGTTATTTTCAAGAAGGAACTTAAAGTTAACACCGATGTGCAATAGACGGTCATCGATTGGATTGTATATGTCTCGCTTTAGATTGGACTAGAGGTCAGATCTGGGTTTACGAGACATTTTTGTACCAAGCGATATTAATAGAAGAGTAAATAATAAAGTCGTTCCAGTATTAGTTTACTCTCAAAACTGGAGCAGGCTAATCAATGCATTGACCTAATTTTCTGCATTTTTGAGCAACGAGGGTTAACCCATGGTCGGGCTGTAGCACCAGGGGTACTGCCCTTATGTGATTCTCATAGTCAGCTGTCGCTGCTAGTAATAGACCTACATAAGTTAGTGAAGATATTCATATCGAATTATGCTCAGTGTATTAGTTAGTGGTCATCTAAGCCCCTAAGCCTATTTCGGGTCGTCCATAAATCAATGTCGTCAAGCTCCACTAACGGTAGGCAGAAGAAACGAGCAGTTTCGACGGGGTCGACCAAAGGGAGAAGGGTGTTAGTTGAGTGGGATTGAGCTGACACGTGAAGAAGTGGTCGGTAGCATGTGGGCAGTCTCCACATCCCGGACACTCATTGTGGATATTGGCGTCTGGTCTGGATAAGTAGCTGTTGAGGCGGCTGCAATAACCAGACCGTAACTGGGCCAGAGTAACGCGTGCATCTCTTGGCAGTTGAAGCTCTGTGTATGTTACAGGTGTTGATTAGGCTCCGATTATGGTATTCATAGGTCGACTCTCTATGAATACCGTTGATCACTAGTCGGTTCGTTGTCGGGTCCAGTGGTTGGTCAATATATGTCTGGACCGCGTCCATGAACTCGAGTAGGCGCCCTCTGACGTGCCTGGGGAAGCTCCTCCGCGAGCAGGGGGTCTGTTGGGGTGATCACGACATATCTCTTGTCTGGGTGTTGGGCCGTTGGATTTTCGATTAGAATCAGCGATTATATAAATAGTAGGCCTAAAATCTGCGGCACTGGAAATGGGAGGCATTTTCACAAATATTCAAAGAAAAATACATTACAACTTTCTAGAACTATTAAGGAAGACGTGGCCACACTTGTAGAAAATTAAGTGGTTCAGAAGGCAGATATATTAAGATATGCAGCAATTAGCGTGGAGTACTGAGCTCATGTCAATCATATGGAGAAGAGACTTTGCTGTGAATTTTTCCAAGAAATTCCAACAAAAAATTCTTCAGCTTTTGCTGGAAGCTATATAGTTTTGTACATACATTAGGATGCATCACTCTATGTGCAAAAAAAAAGTAGCTACTGTCCATCGACACTATAAAATCTTTTATTTTTTATAACTTCCGCCAAAATATTTTAGAAAAGGATTGAGATTTATGTGAGCTGAACCTATTTAAAAATACCTACATAAATTGAGTGTTTTATAAATAAAATTAGTTTTAAAAATATTTTTTCCAAAAACTCACCTCAGATGATAGAAGAGTTTAAGTTTAGAAAGTCTGATTAAAAATATTTAAAAATTTTATCAACAGAATCAGAATAATGAGATTTTTGGAGGTATTTTCAAAACGGTGCAGCTCACGTAAATCTTATGTTTCCAAAAAATTTAGACAGAAGTCTTAAAATATAATAGATTTTATAATTCCGGTGAAAAGAATGCATTTTTTTGGTGAGACACCCTAATGTACATATGGTGGTTAGTCTTTAGTTTGAAAAAAGTTTACCTTCAAAAATTTGATATTTTTACTAAGCTTCTATTAAAAGGGCGTCCTATTCTATACCTTTGGCTAGTTAGTCGTTAAAATATTGTTTGGGAATGCAATGAAATATTAATTTAAAGAGAAAATAGCCTAACCCCATATACGTAAATTTGTTTGGTGTTTTATTAAAATGCAAGATATAATCTGTGCATAATCCCAAAAGTGGCAAATTTAGAGTTTGCACACTTTTTTGAAGATGGTATGTACATTAGACTGCACCACTCCCCATACATAAAAAATCGGCATTGTGTTTCCATTGGAATTATAAAATCTATTATATTCTAAGACTTCCACCAAAATATTTCGGAAAAATATTAAGATTTACATGAGCCGGACCGATTTGAAAATACCTCCAAAAATGGAGTTTTTTATGAAAAAAATAGTTTCCGAAATATTTTTATTTTTAACCGACTTCCAAAAAAGGAGGAGGTTATCAGTTCGTCGGAATATTTTTTTTAATTTTATTTTTTTATTTATGTTACCGCATAACTTTGGACCACGTCAACCGATTTCGATAATTTTTTTTGCATAGGAAAGGTAGTGTCTCAGAGGTGGTCCCATACTAATCTGGTTCCGATCAGCGGATCATGAGATATATATATATATATTTTTTTTTATATAGAGTTGAAGTCGTTTTTTTTTGCTAAAAATTACTTGTTATTTTTTCAAATATAATAAGTTTGTAATCCCGTCGGAAAACCGCAACTTTTTTTGGTGATGGAGTCTAATGCACATATGTATGTACATACATAATATCTACATATATATACATATGTAAGATCAAATCGGTCTGTGATTATCAACTTGTAAAATTTGTCACTTAATAAATAAAATAAGCACACTAAACGCTCGGAAAGACGTCAAGCCTACGGCTAACTCAATTATGATGATCAAATTTAATTTACATGACAAATTATAATAAAATACTTTTGCACATAACTATGCATATATATGTACATATATGTATGTGTTAATTTATTTACAAATAAAGACTTCAAATATTTACTTTTCTCAATAAAAAAGACATTTGCCTTTTTATCGCCACTCAAGCCTAAATTTTTTAGCGGTTCCTACATGAAGAGTGGTCGTATGTTTTTGACGTTAATTACTTATCTTAAAAAATATACACACATGCTTAGTCAACAATATGACTTAACACCTAAACACATATTTTTTTTTTGATTTTTAAATTTCATAATTTGCACTCAGTTACATATCAAAGCAACATTTTACCCGCCGTTTTAATATTTACAAAATTTATTGTTTTTTTTTTTTTAAGGAGATGTCTCTTTCAATGGCCTTTCAAGCTTTTATTGTGATGATTACTATTTTTTTATTGTTTTTGGTCATAAAGAAATACTAATTGGTTGCATTTTTTATTCGACAACTTAATAGTATTAACCATTAACTATTTTTCAAATCTTATTTATAAAAAAAAAAAATACAATAAATAAATAAATGTTTTTTTTCTTTTCTTACGTCCTTTGGATTCAATTCCTGTGCAAAATTCTCCAAAACCATATTATATGGCACCCAGGCAAGCAAAGGATTTTTGATGCCATCGCAAATTTCTTTGTGTGTACCTCGCCCTCTAAGTTCACCATTGCGCAATTTGAAGAAGTAATATGTATCCTTATACGATGTACCGTGATCCTTACACATGGTGTCTAGGAAGCTGTCCTATGAAGAAAAAGCATATATGTAGTAGTATACATAGATTATATATTTGCAAATAATAAAAATAATATGCAAAAATAAATAAAGAATTATAAATAATATATAGGTTCAGGATTGATGAGCCCAGATCGAACACTGAACGATACTATGAGGACGGATTTCGTACCGAAAAAAATCAAGATCCCTAAAGAGCAAAATTGGAAACAAATCGTTTATTCTTCCATTGATTTGAAATTTTCTAGTAGAACTAATAAAGAACATGCTTTTTGAAGAATACAAGGATGTTACGAGCTGTGGTCGAAAATTTTCCAAAAAGACGTTAACGAAGAAAAGGCAATATGTTTTATTTTTATTTTTTTATTTCATAAGATAAAAGAGTATTGAGCGCCGCGCGGCTATCCGGACACAAACTGATGGCATAGACTTTCACATGAAATATGCTTTGATATTTTCCCATAGGAGTAAACACCTGGAGATGTAGCTTTGCTGCACAAAATCTATCTTAAATATATTTTCAAAAGCGATAATTTTACGTTCATAGGCCATTTTTTACGTGAACATTTGTTTAGATCTCTGTATATAAAATAAAAGTCCGAAATTACGTATGAAAAGCCTAACTTAAAAACAAATTCACGGAATTTCACCAAATTTGGACAGCACATTCCTTACATCCATGCGAAGATCAACGCTAAAGTCAATATATTCAGAAAATCCGTAATTATGATCCGATACAATCGAAATTCAAAGTGTAAACTCCATATATGAAAAAATAGTTCGACAAAAATGTATCCGCTAGGTGGAGCTGAAGTCGAGATATTTAGAAAATTCCTAATTATGATCCGATTCAGGTAACATTAGAAATGTATATTTACGAATAATGAATTCATTAGGCGACGCTCGAATTGATATTTACCTTGATATATATCTACGGCACAATAGACCTACCGGTCGTAGAGTTACAACTATTAATCTATCTATCTATATTTATGTATATAGCTATCTAATCTAGTAGACATCTAATAAAATAATATATCTATAGAGTGCTTCGAGATTTTTTACTCGACAAAAAAAACGGTAATTTTTAAAGACTTGAAACTTGCACTTTATAATATTAATGATGAAACCTGGTGATAAGAAATCAAATGTAGAAATTTTAAATTTCGATGAAAATTTTCTTTGTATTGACTTGTTGCATTTCCCCAGTTATATATAAAATTAGAAAAAAATTGATTCTTGCGGTTTTTGCAGTTCAATGCACCATATTTTTTATAAAAATAAAATAAAAATTTTATAAATAACTAAAATCGTCAAAACTCCATGGTATGCATATTCTTGACGCTGATTGTATTGTTATACAATGAGCGCGAGGGTTGAGATATGTATGTATTTACTTTGTTGCTGGTACATACAATGGTGGCCCAGGGACCCATTTATACGAAAAAAATCGTAAGAATATGTTCCGATTTGTTTCAAATTTGGCACGCAGATAGTAATAGATAAATTAATCGTTATTTTTTGATTTTTATTTTTTCGATCCCCACTAATCGTTAAATTTGGATTTTATCTGACAAAAATAACCATTATTTGGATTGTTATTTTTTTCGACCATTTTTAGCCATTATAATGAAGACTACATTTTTATGGCCGTTTAATGACCTAAAAAATTAATCTGAAAATAACGGTGATGATCGAAAAAATAACGATACAAAATTTGTTGACCAGGCACAATCAAGATTTCCTGAAGATGACCTCAGATTGAGGTCGAAACATCGACAATTTAAATATCAATAGAACGAAGTTTTGCGTTTTATTTAATTGCTGGGCCTTGTTAAAAATGATTCATAATTTAAAATTTAAAGGCCAACAACAAAAACAAAATACGAAAAAAAAATATAAATTATAAAATAACGGTAAAATTTGATCGTAAACATATTTATCCAAATTTAATGGTTTAATTATGAATTTTATTATAAAGATCACCGTTACAGTCCCTGCCATGATAAAAAAAAACTTTACAAGGTAAAATCATTGAGCTCTAATCTAATATAACGTTTGCCAGCAGTAAAATTTTAAAATTAACAATTGTGAACAATTTGATTTTTTTTATTTTCAATTTTATATGATTTTAAAATGTTTGCAAACGTCAGAAAAAAATCATGGCCGACGAATTGAGAGAATGATTTTACCTTCTAATGTTTTTATCATGATAAAAACATAGCAAGGTAGAACCGTTCTCTCAATTTGTCGGCCATGATTTTTTTTTGAAGTTTGCCAACATTTTAAAATCATATAAAAGTGAAAATAAAAAATTGAAATTGTTCGAAATTGTTGTTGCTTGAGATTGAAAATGAAAATGTGTGTGTGAGTTTGTGAGTAAATTTAAAAATTAAATTGTTTGGAAACGTCAAGAATTTTAAAAGTGACTCTCAGCGGTTCTACCTTACTATATTTTTATCATGGTTTTTATCATGGTCCCTGCTTTTTTTCTAAAAATTTTAAACAAATGCCATAACCACAAATTTTCTTTCACTTTATGCTAACTTTTTATTAATGGGTATACATATGTACAACCACACAGAGATATTGATCAAAATGGTCAAGACGGCATACTCCACGCAATTATAAAAACAAGACGGACAAAAAGAATTAGAAAAACACAAACAATTTTCTTATCAATACCATTTAGTGATTATAAAGAAGCCTTTAAAGGTATTTAAATCCGCTGGTGCATACATATCTATTCATAAAAATCAGGTGAAATCATAATAAATGGCGTCAATTAATTGAGTAGATAAAGCATAGCTAAATATGTGCACACTTACGTATGTACATATGTACATTTAATCAGTATATTTTTTTCTTATAAAAATGCCGGTTACACTGCTTTAAGAAAATAAATAGTTTTGAATTAGCCTATTTTTATAAGCCTTTTTAAGAATATGCAAATATCGTACCCTAAATCAAAAACAGTCACAACTGAAAAAAAACCTCAAATGTTCTGCAAACGAAAAAACAGTGTGGAGTCGATGCACGCGACGCAAGCAGAACAAAAACAGTCTTAGGGCCGGTTGCTCAAAGCCTGGTTGACACTAATCACCAGTTAACATCGTTATCGACGTNAAGCAGAACCAGCAGACACCGTGTTAACGATGTTAACTGGTGATTAGTGTCAACCAGGCTTTGAGCAACCGGCCCTTAGTAGTGTTTTTCCAGTTAAAGAAGATAATAATTTCGGCGGACGATAGAAATAGGATCCGTTAACTCTTTTATACAAAAAAATCAATTTTGAAAAATTTCGAGTTGTGACTGTTGTGATTTAGGGTACGATGTGTACCTAGATATGTATGTGCGGACATTTAAAAAAACACCTTAGCTAAAGTTCGGTAATTTTTTCTACAAACCACGGAAACGTTAAGTTATTTTAATTTTTAAGGTTTAAGAGACTATTTCAATAAAAGTTTATCGCTTATTTACTAGAGCAGTGTTATAATCAAAAAACAATAACTTTTTAGAAAATGTTACAATCAAAACAGAAACACCCAAAATAACTTAAGCGTTTTACCAAAAGCCCCAATGACCAATATGTACATTAGACTGCATCACTCCCCATACAAAAAAAAATCGCTACTATTTTTCCATTGGAATTATAAAATCTATTATATTTTAAGACGTCCACCAAAATATTTCGGAAAAATATTAAGATTTAAGTGAGCTGGACCGGTTTGAAAATACCTACAAAAATGGAGTTTTTTATGAATAAAAATAGTTTCTTAAAGATTTTTTTTTTGAAAAAATCCCCTCAAATGACAAAACGGCTTAAGCTTAAAAAATTGCAGAAAAATATTTAAAAAAATAACTTTTGAACGGAATCGTAATGAATGAGATTTTTGATGCTGTTTTCTAAATTTTTTTAAAGATTGGTATAACAAAAACTTGAATAACTGAACCAAAACTCTTCCGATTTAGACTTAGGAGGTGTCATTAGAAAGGTATTTTCTCTACGTTTTTATTTCTTTAATAAATAATAAACTCATTCAAAAGATAAACCAGAAAGGTAGGATGAAGGAACGTCATTCAAAGTTGAATTAAGATGTGTTGGTATTTGAAAAAAAAATATATATTGGGACACGAATAACCTTTTTTTTGGACAGAAATAAAAACAGTGTGAAAATACCTTTCAACTGAGATCCCATAAGTCTAAATCAGAATAGTTTTGGCCCAGTTATTCAAGTTTTTCGTAAATCAATCTTTGAAAAAAAGTAAAAAAACAGCATCGAAAATCTCATTCTTACGATTCCGTTTAAAAGATTTTTAAATATCTTTATGCAGATTTTTTAAGCTTAATCTGTTCTGTCATCTGAGGGGACTTTTTGCAAAAAGTTCTTTAAGAAACTATTTTTATTCATAAAAAACTACATTTTTGGAGGTATTTTCAAATCGGTCCAGCTCACTTAAATCTTAATATTTTTCCGAAATATTTTGGTGGACGTCTTAAAATATAATAAATTTTGTAGTCCCGGCGGAAAAACAGAAACTTTTTTTAGTGATGCAGTCTAATGTACATATGTATAAAAAATGTATGCATGTAACACACATTCGTCACAATTTCGAAGTTTAAAAGTTTAGTAAATTAATATTATTTGGCGTTTTCATTGCTAAGGAAACTAGTTTTTCAACGAACAAGCGCCGATGATCGCATTTTTCGAATTGTTTTTTTCGATTTTTTTTTTTTATCTGTTGTATTGTGTCATTGCCGCAAATGCATACAGTTTTGAATGCACATTTCAAAGTATGCATGTGCATACAAATGTATGTATGCACGATTTTGTGCGTCTATGTCATGTATTTCTACCAAATATGGTTTGTTCTTGTTAATGAAGAATCTATTTTTGGCTGGCGTGAGGTGATTTGCTGTAGTTTTTCGTTAACAACAGCATGCATTGTTGGGTCACGGAGAAGAAAACTTGTCTGGTGACCTTAAAATTTTTAAAACACTGAAAATTAATTTATTTTGTTTATATATTTTTTGTAGTAAATAGTTAATGTCTTAATTAGTGAATGGCAGAGTCGTTATTTGGTAATTTAGTAGCTAGCTTACATAGATGCATGACTTAGGGTAGTCGAAACACCAGCTATTTTTGTATGAAAATAGCTCTTTTTTATAAGTGAAATATACCACCAATCATCTTTAATTGTTTTATTGGCTATCTCATTTAAATGGGGCCTACCCGCTCATGTAATTGAAGCATGGTTGGGCTCGACAAAACTGATTCGTAACGAACTGCCACCCAGCCCCGAGGGGATGTAACAACTAGCCTGGAAGGACGACGCCCACCACCGGGACATAGTGCGGTGTAGATGGAGTTACCAAGGGAATCGAGGTACACTCTGCTTCAATTTACAGATGTCGGACTGAAACAACCATTTCAACGGCTACTTCATCGTTCCCACGAGAGTCGGGTCTGCATAAGCGGAATGACCCAGATTCATATCTGGCCAAGGACTGCAACTCCAGCATCACTCCCCAAAACCCCTCCAGTATCTTCCTTCAACGCGTAAGGTTCCTTGGCCTGAGGCTCTCGCAGTAGGCTGGCGAAGATGAGAGCAACTGACGCGATACCTTGGGAATGGGTAATTGATAATATTGCAATAACAGCGAAATTCTATTCGAATACCCGGGTCCGCGGAAGTCGACGAATAAAAACGAACCAAGCCTCAGCTTCCTGGACCATTAGTTGAACTTAACGACAACGATTGAAAGATTAGCTAATCAAGGCAGAGCTAAGTACGCAATAAAATAAAAACAACAACCAGCGAGAAAGGTCTATGTACATTTCTCTTGGCAAGAACAGAACCACTACAACAACATGTTATAAAAAAATGGATGAATAGAAATCAGGAACATCACTAAATTTTATTCGGCCGCGGTGAATCTTATTTAATTTAAATTTACTATGTCCTTATTACAATAGATTTTTGAGCTTAGGGCTTGATAATAGCACTATGCCTAGAAAATATGTATATTTTTTAATGCGCATGAAAATATTTTTGAATTAAATTTAATAAAATCCACTTAACTTACCTTCTCTTTAACGGTCAACGTTGTGGCCAGCACTTTGCAATTGGGATCACCTTCCAAAGGATTAACATGCTTCTCAATATCCGCCAGTAACATTGGTTGGGTGCGTATGCAAAATGCATCATTCTCTTCAAAAGCATTGACTGTAATGCAGCGCCATTGCAGCCAAATTAGCAGCAAAGTGAACACAAAAATGGATGAACAAAAGGATATGCTGCCAGAGCAACACATTTTACTGCGATACTGCGACATTTTACGACAGCTTGTAAAAGGTTAATAAATTTCGTAACAAATTTTAAATAGGCGCTCCTTTTTTTTAAGTATATACACTTTCTTAAATTTGGTTTTAATATGGCCGGTGTTGAATATGCACCTGATTATAAATTCAAACACATTTCACAGCTCGTTTGCTGTTGTGTATTAATAAATGCAAAATACTAATTTCCACCGACTCAAAGTGTTTAAGTTTTAAGAGAAATTCGCACAAACCCGACCGCGCATTTGCAGCGCAAAAACTTAACTGAAATTCAAATTGCCAGCAACCGAATTTGTGCGCGTATATTGTAGAGTTTGAATAAAAAGCTGCCAAATGCGCTGGAGCTAGTGGTGATGTGTCAGCTTAAGCTGTGATAGCAACAGCGCAGTTAATTATTCGGTTGTTAAGCAGCCTGTGTCAGATATATGTAAGTAGTGGACAGCTTCAACTTCACTATTAGCTACTAACTGCAAAAGCTTTCACTTACAAATTACTGATTTTTATTTTATTTCTAAAATAGGAATTTTTATATGTAAGTACTACATATAAAATGTTAATGGTTCGGTAATCTCTTTGCAGCACAGATGGCGTGCCGTATAGAATATCAACTAATCGGGAAATGCCTTAAATAATATAAGATAAGATAATTCTTTTAGCATTGATTTTGATTTATATAGAGCTGAGCTATTTATTGGCATAATTTTTTTAAGCGTTCGATTTGGTACATACGAGTATGTAATCAACATTTCATGAGATGAGCGTTTATAAAAGCAAAAATGAGAATACTTTCATTTAACGTTATCTATTTACTATTGAATCTGCTTTTTAAAAGATTTAAAATTATAGAGAAAATATTTATTGATTTCTTTAAAACGCGAAGGTTTTTTGCGGTTTAGTTAAAGCTTCAAAACTAATGCGCGGGGAACTGTTTTTATTGTTTTAAATAAAACTCTTCTTTAAACTTTCGTTTTGTTTCAACATTTGTTTGTATTAAACGTAATTTAAATTATCACTTGTTAACCGCTGCAGAAATTGTGTCTAACTTCGCTGCAGGCTCATCGGCGACAATTAAACGTTGCTTTTTGATAAAATGTTCAATGCGATTTTCCAAGCTCTCTGTCATATAAAATATTGAAGATATTTTCTTTGTTCGTTTAAAAGCTATGTATCAAGCTTAGTTTGTATACTTATATTAAATGAACAACAAATACTTACCACACCGTTTACGGTTCAAAAGCTGCTGATATTGACGCGGACGCACACCATCTTGCAGTAACCAAGCCTGAGCATTCACTGGCTCTGCGCACTTATGATCTTTTTGGCGTATTTGCTCTAATTGGTGTAGTAAGTCTCGTATCATAGTACTTCTGTAAAGTGAATAAAAAAGTTTATAAACAGATTAATAAAATAAAATAGCTCAAAGACAAGCTTACTTAATGTTGTACTGCGTCCATTCGCCCTGTACAGTTTCAATAAGTTTTTGCAGATGCTCATCACCATATATCCAAGCAGTAGTGTGCTCGGCCTCATCCTCTGCACATGCATCACGTGATGTATTATCAGCGGGCTGTATTGTATGCTTACGATATTCGCAATGGAAAAGGTTTAAGGGCAAGCCAATTGCAGGCGTATACTGTGGTTTACTGTAATAAAGTATGCATGTTTCAAATAAAAGATCTAGCCAAACATACATAAACACCTGTATACCGTCACCATCAATCCAAAAACCCGTATTTGACATGCTCACGAAAACGAGTTTTTTTTTTAATATTCCGTTAGTTGGCTCTCAGATACACATGTAAATGCATATTCAAAGCCGTTAGTTAGAAAATATGATAGTTTTTACTAACTTGAGAGATCATAAATCGTTTCCTTTGTATGTACATGTATTTAAAAAGTTGTTAGCTTTTATAAAACTTAAAATTTGTCAAATAGGTCTTTTGTATTGATAGTGAAGCCACTTGGCAGCTTACCATGGATTTTTCTGTACGTCCAGTAATTCATCTATAACCTCGGGCTGCTCCTTGCCTTCTCCAATGAGCAGCAATACCGCCATAATGCAGCGTATTTGATGCCAGAGGAAGGCATTAGCTCTTATCTCTAACATATACATCGCATAACCTATAGGAATGCACAAAAGTTATTAGCTGAAACGTTTTGATGTAGATACTATTTTTAATAATTTACCGTCTTCAGCATTCTTATTATTCTGTTCTACCTCACACCTCCGTACACTAGCTTTAAATATTTGCCTTATGTAATTTGTCACGCCATTATTAACATCCATTTTGCAGAAATTTCGAAAGTCTGTATGCCTTGCTAACAGTTCACATCCCTTCTGCATCGCTTCTATATTTAAATCACCTATTGGAAAGTAATAACGATATGTACGCTCGAAACAGTCAAACCGTGCGCTATACACTGGGCTACGCAGAGGCATCCATGCCACCGCTTGTATACTGCGCGGCAATACGCGATTCAAGAGAGAACAGTAATCAATTTCATTGGCTAATGATTCAGTCTTCAACTGCTCATCTGGTGGAAATTTACTACGCAAATCTATGGAGATTACTTGGCAAAATGCACTCACTTCTTTATCTGTTCTGCCACATCGATGGTAATTTGCGGATTCGCGTGACTGAATAAGGCAGGTGCGAATTAGCGCTTGGAATAGATGGTGCTCTGAAGATAGGCATGTAGTTAAACGGCATGTACTATGTATAACGAGCGGTCTCTGAGTGACTTACCTATTGTAGCATTTGAGTCTTCCTGTACTGCCAAACCGTGATAATCCCATCCGAAATAGAGGAATTTTATCAGAACATGTCGTTTGTAGCTCCTGCGGTTAAACGTTTAATTTCTATTTAAATACAATTACAATCGTTAGAATAAAATTTTCTTACTTATTAAAGTCGAATTGGCGTTTTTGTTGTACTTTGTTGGGCTGCAGCACAGGTTCCGGCGCTCTAACCGCTGTTGACCTTTCATGGGACTCCAACTGGGCGAGTTGTTCGTAGAATTCGCCATCACTTTGACCCAGCTTCTTTTGTAATAAATTCCTAATTTGAAAGTTGTATGCATCCAGTTGTAATACCTTAGATATAAGCTCCTCTTTGCTCCATGCCTGTATCTCTTCCCGGCTTACACGACCCTTTCCTCGTTTGTTTATTTGCACCTTTTTGTCATTCATTATTTTTGGTTTGTTGTCCTGCGAATGAAATTTTTGTAAACAAGCTGTTGGTTTGTTGTCCTGCGTCCCTGGAATTGATTGTTTACCACATATGTAGGTTGAAAGCGAGTGCTTTTTTGGGGTTTCGTGTTGAGGAATTTGTGGAACTTATGTAGGTTGACTGAGAGTGAGAAACTATGTGTACATAAAGTAAAATTATTTTTTATATTACAAAATATTGCTATAATATATACCTCTGTACCCTGTACAGATCGTTTACATTAAATTTGTATAATAAGGAGATGAATTTTTTAACAAGAGCCAATACAACCGTGTAGCTGAGTTCGCCATTTTCAGGGCACACCACATGCTTTTCTCTTTCTCTCCCATATGCAAAAGGCATAAACCAACTAGCTGTCTCATGTGCACAAGGTGAAAGACCACCATATTGAATTTTCAGCGAGTTAATTGTGACGCGAATGGATTTCGCTGCGTTGAAAAATTAATATTTAATGTGGAAAAAGTGCAATTTTCCTAGCAAAAATATTAAAAAAATTGAGTTCAATGAACATTTAATACATAAGTGGCAAAAGTAAGTAGCGGAAAAGTCGAAAAGTGCGTGAAATTTGCTTGTGAAAATTGTGGCCAGCGGAGCGCTACTTGAAAGTTTCCATGCATATATATTTCACAAAAGTGGAAGAAGAAGAAGCCATAGGCAATTAAAAAGTTATATGAGCATAGAAAAGTAGCACGGCAGGAAAAAGCCAAACAAACGCGCTGGGCATACGTGCTGCGTGGCGTGTTGGTTTATTGAAAGCAATCACTACAGAGGTGCGGGTAAAAAACGCTACTAGCATCTGTTTTAAAGCCAAACGTCTATCAAACAAAAATTAAAAACTTGAATAGTTTTGTGGCATAGTAATTGCCTTCTTACTGTAATGAGTGTCGCTGCAATGACTATGGACGATCAAAGACCTTTGATGAACAGTTACGATAAATTGTCCAAACAATACGATCAAAATTTACACGGCAATACCGGAGTAGGTAGTGGAGTTGGTGGCAACGGTTTGGGTGTGGGCGGTGCACCACCATCTGGACCCGCCTCGCCAACACCATCCGGGAGCGAAGAGTTGCAGCATCAATACCATCATTCACATCATCATCATTCCCATCATCATCATCACCATCACTCGCGACATATTATGCATCAACATGCGCCACATATGTCAGCGTCTGAACATCAGCCACCATCGCCGCCGCCAACTCAGCAACAGCAGCAACTTTTGCACCACCACAATCAGCATCATCAGATACAGCAGCAGCAGCAGCAACAACAATTGCAGCAGCAACAGCCAGGCACAGTTGCAGAGGCTGTTGCTGCTGCCGAACATCGGCAGCGGTTGCTCGAAGGTATATATTGAATGAGAACTTTAATAAACTTATAGATTGATAAAAATCAAACAGACAAGTATGAACAAAGTAAAGAACGTATGATACAATGCTCGGTGTGTGTTAAAAAATAATGTTTTATTTTGCAAAATATTTTTACATATTTTTACTAGCAAACAATGTTCTTTTACTTTGATTTCTTTTTTAAATTGTAAACATTTTTCTGTACTGACATTTGTACATTAAGCGAGTTTTATAGACCAATACTCGATGCAAGTTAGCTAGCTGTGACACTAATCCATAAATTATGGACTAGTGCAGCTAAACTTGTGGTAAGTGCGGAAAGTACGAAGTGTAATACGTGGAGCGTGTGTAATGATTGCTTATGAAAAACTCAACAGATGAATCGTACAGCGAACACTCTTTTTGACTCTTTCAGAACATTGCTTTCGAATACTTATGAATTTAGTAGAGTGATGTGTACTAAAAACCAGATAAGATGCAGAGACATTGTAATAAAGGTTTATTGTAGCTCGTTGGAAAGAGTATCGAGTGTAAAAGAAAAGGTAAAAAAGAAAAATATAAGAAAAGCCTAGTGATATAAAAACTGTGCAAATCAAGAAGAAAAGAAGAACTACGAATAAGCAAGTGCATGAAAAAGAAAAAAATGTGGCATTTATTTCTCTACTGTTGTGTTGAATGCACAAAAGCATGAACGAAATATGTAAAGATGGCAAGTGTATAAAAGAAAGAAAAATGCCTGCTATAAAAAATCCATATATATATATTTTTTCTAAGTGTATTACCAGCGCCATTATAAGGAAAAAATTTACTTAATTTTCTTCTATACATATCTTAATTCAGAAATTAATGTATTTATAGTAAACCATCCACTATTTTATAACAATAAAAATTATGTAAAAAAATAACAACGGTCATTGGTTGTGTTGTGAACGCCTTTCCTACGAATCGTCGTCGGAGACATCCTTTTCGCCGTGTGTGCCGAGTTTTGCTGCTATACAGCTCTTCGTCCGTTTGTATGCTCCTGCCACACCCACGGTCATTTCTCTATTACCTTATTGGTTATTCAACCCTGTTGAATCAAATTCTCTTACAACTGTTCTCCAATATGCCGCGTCACCTGTATTCAATATATGCGGAGACTATTTCGCAAAAATCTATTATGAAAATGATTTGAAAAAATGAAAAGAGCCTGTTATAAAATAATAAAATAATATATGTCCGCCCTGTGCGTATAGCCAACAAAGAAAAGAACTTAAAAATAGTGTTTTTTTTTTTTAGAAATTGTGCTACTTTAAATATAAAGCACATAATAAAATAAAAATTGTAATAAAACTGTTTTAAGGGTTTGGCTCATAAGTGTGTGGTGAACGCGTAAGATAGGCGAAACCCAAAAATTTATAATAAAAAATGTTGTGCAAATGGCAAATATTTAAATTAGCAAAAAATTGTTTCTTGGTAGTTTTGGTATAGAAAATTGTCCATTCCTGGTATACGCTACTTGGCATTAAGCAATTATAATAAAATGTAGAAAGTTTTAAAAATATACTTATTTTCACTTGTATTCAATAGAATGTAGTATATTTCTAAAATTCAGAAAGTAATTCAACAGTTTTCTATGCAACTAATACCAAAACAAAATTTGCAATTTTAAAATTTATAATTTTTACAAACACTTGTTTATGAAAGAGCCTAAAAAGTGTAAATATCAAAGTTGTCTGAAAAGCGTCAGAAAAGAGTGTGGGTTGTCGATGCAATTGTATTCTTCCAAATGAAATATAAAAGAAGAAAGCATGAAATAAATTTGAGTGCAAAGAAAGTATGTGCATTAGCATTTTGAAATGAAAAAAATCGCTTTCAACCCAAAGTATTTGTTATATATCTGTTTATATAATTAAATGCAAAATTAATGGCTTGGCATACAGGGAAAAACTGTAAATAATTGCAGTGCACTTGTGCGCGTAATATAAATCTTAAAAAAGTTCGTTGCGTGTATTTGTGTATTTCAAAAAATAATTCAGCAGCTAAGTTTTTACTAAACTGCTAATGCCGAAAAATATTGGCGTTTAATTCGCGTCGTAATATACGTTAAAATTCGATCTGGTCTGAATGATCTGTTTTCACACTTTTCAACACTGAGCTGACCGTCTTTGCTAGACAAATTTATATACACGACGTAACGAAACGCAACGAACGAAAGAAGCAACAAAATCACAAAAGTAAAATGCCAACTCCAAAATCACGAAATCTGCGGCAATGCGCAAACAAATGTACCTTGTTGCACACAGTATTGGTATGATTTTGTATTAAGTTCCATTTAGCAAAAAAAAAAATAAAATATGTACATAAATATTTTATATGTAACTTGTAACTATTATGTACACATGAATATATTTATTTATATTAGAATTATGTTTCTACCAATTATTTACATATCCTTTTAAAAATTTTTAAAATTTTCATCCCATACTTGTATAAATATAATTTACATGTATTTAAAAAATTATCACCAATATGTTTTTAAAACAAATACTTCACAAACATTATTAAAAATTATAAATTGTAACATCTTTTCGCCGCTAATACAGATGAAATTGAGAGTCTCAAACTGGAGCAGGCGCGCCTATCGCAGCAATGTGTTGATGCACAACGTCGCGAAAAAATACTCATGCGTCGTCTGGCCAACAAGGAGCAAGAATTTCAAGATTATGTGGTGAGTTGGCAAAAATTGTATTTAAATTATTCCAAAATGCTTAGCACAAACTCGTTTCAGAGTCAAATTGCGGAATACAAAGCTCAACAAGCGCCCACATCATTGGCTTTGCGTTCCGCTTTGCTCGACCCAGCTGTTAATTTACTCTTTGAGAAGCTTAAGAAGGAACTAAAGGCTACCAAGGCTAAATTAGAAGAGACTCAAAATGAATTGTCAGCTTGGAAATTTACGCCAGATTCGAATACAGGCAAACGCTTAATTGCCAAGTGCCGTTTGTTGTATCAGGTAAAACCTGGTTTTTGGAAAATTTAGCAACACGTCCTTATTTTCATTTCTCACTTTATTAGGAAAATGAAGAGCTAGGTAAAATGACCTCCAATGGTCGTTTATCTAAACTAGAGACTGAATTGGCAATGCAAAAGAGCTTTTGCGAAGAAGTAAAAAAGTCACAATCAGGTAAATAATCGAAGAAATACAAATTTTACTTCACAATGAGATTTGCTAACGGCTTATTCTCTTCTTCCCGTATGCAGAGGTCGATGATTTTCTACCTGAATTGGATGAAGATGTAGAAGGCATGCAAAGCACAATCCTATTCCTCCAGCAAGAACTCAAGACCACCCGCGATCGCATACAAACATTGGAAAAGGAAAATTACCAATTAAAAACCGGTATTATGGACAGTGAGAGTATTGTGAAATCCGAGGTTACAGATGCGCTTAATGTCAGCGATGCCAATCATCCCTCAATGCACAGTGGCCTGAATGGCGCTGTAGACCCGAGCAAGTTGTCGATAAATGCTGCCGAAACCTGTGCCATACCCTATAACATCGTTGCCACAAGCAATAATACCATCAACGCCAATTCCAACCCCACTAACGCCCTAACTACACTGCACAATACGCATACACTTACCAACGAATTGAAATATGTCGCTGCTCGTCCGCTGGAGACCATCGATGAAAACGCTTGTGTGCGCAATTATGCAGCTACTAACGAATACTACAACGGTAATGAGGATCAGCAGCAAAAACAGCACGTCCCA